CCCTACGAATTCCTTCCCTACCAAAAACCAATCATCCCCCCGATCCTTTTTTCCGCTCCTGGGGAGAGGGATGCTAACCCCGAGATCGATCAATCCGACCGATCCGACCGAAATACCGAGGTCGATCTCGGATATAAAAAGGCATCACTCTCCACAGGAAATCACTCACTCTCCGTTTACTCCTGTTCCTAGATCGTCTCCGAGAGCTCGCCTCGAGGAAACGATCTTCCGAAACCGGCAGCAAGCCTGAGATTTGTTGGGGTTCTCCCCAACGCGCCAAGTTCGCTTGGCCTGGCCGAAAGCCGTCTCCGCAGCTCGCACGGCAAGCCGAGAGTTGCTGGGGTCTCCCCAGCGCGTCGAGTTCGCTCGACCCGACTCTGCCGTTCCGAGAATTCACCGCCGAGTACCGGGGTTCTCCCCGATACTACCTCTCCGAGTACCAGGGTACTCCCTGGTCAGCCGAGTACACTCGGCACCGCCACCTTCTTCTCCGCACACAGCCGGGGCTCTCCCCGGCTGGCCGAGTTCACTCGGCGTTCACTCAAACAGATGAGGGGCACACCCCCCGTCAGCCGAGCACTCTCGGCAGGGAACGGGCACACCCGTTCTCCGATCTCAACGATCCGCCGACCTCGCGAAATATCCACCCTCGCGACAATACCCGCGACACGCGTGCACGTTTAAATCGCCGATTTAAAGGCCCGCGACTAACACGTGTGACCACCGCCGCCGCCGCGCGCGCCCCGCGCCACCGAACTGCGCACCGCGATCAGTATCGCGCCGACCGCCCGAGCGATCTCTTATTTTGTATTTACGCATTATCCGCACGCCGATCGCCGCCTCGCCCGTCTACGGCCACGAACATTTAACGCGACGATTCGGTGCATTCCATCGCACCACTCTTAGTTAAATAAACATCGTTATTTATTATCAATCTCGCCTCACAATTTAATCATGCCTTTCTGTCTCCAACGTCCTCGCTTCTCCTCCTGGTAACCGACTGACCGCTCTCCGCGCGGAAAAGCGAGACCGTTATATGGCGCCCGAACAGGGACCGGAAGATAGTAAGACCGCGGAGACAGGAAATAAAAGCGAAATGGCCGATGACGGGATAGACCGGTTAACGAAGGCCGAATTGCAGGAACGGCTCGGACAAATCCAACAAAATACCGCCGGGCCCGTCGAAGCGCTACGACAGCGCCTGCGCAGATGCATGCGCGATCATCCGGGAACGTCTCTCGAGCCACCCGCGCTGACACCCCTTGCTTCCCCCGTATATTCCGTACCCCCCGAATTTCCGATCCGTATACCTGAGTTGCTACGGCCGGCCGAAATCATGGGGCAAATGCGTAAGTGGGGCTGTTTTTTCGACGGACGCGATCCGATCGGGTTTCTGGAGCGGATCGAGGAACTTGGCGAAACGTGCGGTTTTTCCGAGCAACAACTGTTGACCGGTATACCCGCATTGTTACGGGGGGACGCGATGTTATGGCACCGGAACAATCGCCAATACTGGTCCGCGTGGGAAACGTTCCGGCAAGATTTCAGCGCTCAATTTTGCCCGCAACTAGAAAAAACCGCCGCGCTGCGTGAAATCTACTCCCGCACCCAGAAACCCGGTGAAACATACGCACAGTACGCCACAGCCCTACAAACGCTCATGCGTCGCGCAGGGAATTTCGGAGAGCGGGCGCAGACCGATCTGCTTTTCGCCAATCTCCATCCGGATTATAAAATCTACATCCGTCGGGAGGATGCCGCGAACCCCCGCGCCCTGCAGGCACGAACGACCGAATACGAGGAGATCCAACCTCAAACCTCAAAAATCAGTAGTGTTCACGATGGCAATAACAAAAAAGCATATTCGATTTTCCATCCACTTCGCGTTTCATCTGAAGAAAAATGCTGCTGAAGCCACTGCAATGATTTGTGCTGCATATGGAGAGAATGCTGTAAGTCATACTACATATAAAAGATGGTATCAAAAATTTCGCCAAGGAGATTTCAGTCTTGAAGATAAACCGCGTGCTGGACGCCCTCAAAAGATTGAAACGGACGAATTGCAAGCACTGCTGGATATAAACTCTGCGCAAACTGAAAAGAAGCTTGCAGAACAGCTTGGCGTTACGCAGCAAACCATTTCCGTACGTTTACATACGATGGGAAAGGTTCAGAAGGAAGGCAGATGAGTTCCGCATGAATTGTCCGAAGACAACAAAAATCGTCGGCGTGACACTACATTCACTTTGCTTTCAAAGTTCCGGAAAAAAGATTTTCTGCACAAAATCATTATAGGCGATGAAAAGTGGATTCTTTATGATAACCCTAAATGTAGAAAATCATGGGTTGACCCTGGTCAACTTTCGACATCGATGCCAAAGCCCAATATCAACGCCAAAAAGGTTTTGTTCTGTATCTGGTGAGATTGGAAAGGTGTTGTATTACGAGTTGTTACAATCGGGTGAAACAATCACGGCAGATCGCTATCAACAACAATTGACCAATTTGAGCGATGCATTAGAAGAAAAGATGCCATTTACTGGCCAAGGACGTCGTAAAGTGATTTTGCTTCATGACAATGCTCAACCACATGTTGTGAAAGCGACTCAGGACATATCTTTGAGTTAGGCTGGTAACTTCTCCCGCACGCGGCATATAGCCCAGACATGGCGCCTTCCGATTACTATCTATTCCGGTCGCTGCAGCATCATTTGGCTGATACACATTTCGTGAGATTTTAAGAGATACGAAAATGCATTGATGACTTTATCGCTTCGAAGCCGGTGAGCTTCTATCGTCAAGGAATTCGCAAGCACCCGAAAGATGACAAAAGGTCGTTGATGCAAACGGGGAATATTTCGCTGATTAATATTTTTTTGTTTGTTTTTGAATAAAGGTTGAATTTTACAAAAAAAAGCTCAGAACTTTTTTGTACACCTAATACAAAGGCTCTAAAACTTTCAATTAAGCTCTATATATGATAAAAATTTATAAAATATATGATAAAATAAAAATTTCATGAAACAGTGATTCATCCATACAACTTCCATAAGACATCTAATGGAGATTTGGTAGAGCTCCATTAGAACTTCATTATAAAGATAGTATAGATCTCCATTAGAGATTTATTTAATTTTTATTATAGAGATAGATGAAGGTTATGTGGACGTTATGTAGACCTCTAATGAATGTCATGTTCCATGTGGGACCATCCACCGTGAAGGTTCGCTGGATGGCTAATGGACATTCACGGTGAAATCTTAGGGGATCGTCCATCACGGAGTTAGCTGGACGGCTAATGAACGTCCACGGTGGAATCCTAAAGCACCGTCCACTGTGGAAGTTTTCTGGACCTCTAATAAACGTCTATATGACTTCCATCGTGAAAATAGACGTTCGATGGAAATTTAATGGAGCCATAGAGGTTCAATGGACGTCCATTGAAGGTTATGTTCTATGTGGGAAGTGAGGAGAGGGAATAGCAGGAACGTTTGTTCGTTGAACGTGCTATTCAAGGAGTTAAAAAATATTGTATTGCCCAAATTCAGACCCAGAATTAGCATGAAATAATAACTATCTATATTTTAAATAAACAATTCTTATAACAATATTAAATAAACAATTCTTTTTATTTGACTAATAAAAAAATTAATTAGATGTAAGTTGAATGAATAAGCAATACATAGGTATGGGCCGAGTACATATTAACAAACTACAACGAGAAACATGGCTATTTTTCGGCAAGCAGGATCTTTGATTGTTAGATTTTTCTAAATGAAATAAATTCAAACAGTCACCAACTACGCGCTACTACATAGTGGTCTTCCAGTAGTAGTTCTATAACAATTCGATATAATATTTTTGATATTGATTAAATCTCTTTTTTATTATCCCCCCCTCACAGGAAATATAATTCATAAGAACTCATAAGAACTTATTGCATTTTTCTATATATTACAACATATTTTGCATATTTCATCCTTAAACGATTTAGCTAAACTATTATAAACAAATTTTATGATATTACAATGATTCGAATACTAGTAATTTAAGACTATCGTTATATTTAACATTATCGTTTATATATACGCAACGCTTCTTGTAAGTGTAAAATGCGGAACTTTATCTCAAGGTACAAAAAATATTAGATACGCTTCTGAGATGTACACAATAGGCGGGGATGTACACAACTCGCAGACGCCCGTGCCCAATTTCAGCGTTTTGCCGACCCCTGCTTTAATTGTTATTATACTTTGGATATTAAAAATGTTATCAACAAAATCCTCCATTACGCGATAATTATTGTTTTTCTGAATATGGTTCAAGTTTCAAATCAATTCATTAGTTACAACTTGAGATCGTGTACACTGTCTTGTAAAACATGATTTTGAGAAAAATGCGTTTAAAGTTTGACAACTTGATATCATATAGTTTTTTGCGTCTTACCGTTAATCAGTCATGACTGCTTCATACGATGAATCTCCTTTTTCATATGCAGCATCCAAGGCTCCAAGACTGCTCTGCTCGATTCGATCTTTTTTAGATGCTACAACATCTGTGCCTCGCTTTTGAAGACGCATGCGTCGTCAAGTTACTCTGCCAAAGCAGTTGAATTCGGGTTAATAATTATGTCCATCGTATGCATTATCAAAAGTATGCTTGTGTAACCTTTATTAAAAATGCTAGCTGTGAATATATGTGATAATTTCTACGGTCTTGATGTCGCTAAATATTTTGGTGTAAAGGACAAAATCAAAGAATTTAGGCTTTTGTTATTGTTTTGCATAAAGCCTTCCAAACAGCGGTATAACAGATCGTTGCTTAATTAATTGTAAAAATTAATAAAAAGTTAATTATGCGATATCCCTGGCCTGCATTTATTGGCACTTTCACCGATTTTGTTTTCAACTTTTTCGCGGCGGTGCTAGTGATAGCCGTTTCGCGCTCGAATGTATGACCATTCGGCAGTTTTCCTTGTTCAGATGTCCTAATGAACCCTTTTTGTTCATAAATGTACGATCCATTCTTATGATATAATTTTAAGTATTATTTTATACGCATATGTGAAATGTACTGTAACGAAAATTAAAATTTGCGAACATTCATTCGAAATGATGTAGATGCAGTCGAACGGCACCTTAGGTTAACGCATGCGCGAATTTAAATATTAGAGACATATAACTTTTATTATCTTATGATTTTATTATTTTATATTTTATAACTTCCATTATTAAGTTAATTAAGTTAATAATAGCGAGAATTCACTTTCTTTCGTCTTATGATAAAAGATATAATTTTATTATTATTATTATTATTATTATTATTATTATTATTATTATTATTATTATTATTATCATCTTCTGGGAATATAATTTATAACGTTAATTTTTTTCTTCGTACTGTCTCTTCTTCGTATTTTCAATCCTGTAGCTGTAGAAGAGACAAAGGAACGTTCAACGATTTTAGTTTATACTAAAGGGGAGGCTTATCGCACTCAAAATATTCCTAATATAAACTTTCCAATGAAAGGCTAGCTCGGAGAGTCTTTCGTTGCCCAACGAAAATTTAACTGACGAAAACATTAAAATGAATTCTCGTTTTGCAATAATAAGATTCACTATTAAGCTGTTACGTCGTGACGACTGCACGATTCTTCTCTTTCGGGTATCTGTTATTAGAATTTAATTAAGCGGATAAACGGATGACACATGTTCTGTTACGATCGCGACGGCTACGCAACTGAATTTCCGGGAGTCGGTTACTAAGAATTTGGCTAAGCGGATAATCCCTATTATCCTAATCGCGGAAAAACAACACGTGTACAGATGTTTTCCTCAACATCATATATATATAGTGCCCTTAAAGGCACGGAACACACACTCTCTGCTACGTCCTTTTTTTTTACACGGTCGGAACATTTTCAGTTTATCAGTTTGTCGATAATTCAGTTTGTCAATAATTCAGTCGGTGTCAGTCGAAAATAATCAACAAGTACAAGTGATCAAGTTTCCTGATGACACCATTACCGCCTTCATCTCGCAGGTCTCAAGTCTCCAGAGTAAAAGTAAGTTTAATTACACATAAAAAAATTCCGTAATAATAGTTTTCGGGTCTCTTCTCCTTATACTTTCTCATTCCTCCCTTACATCCTTTCTATCCTCTGCCGTTCTCCTTACACTTCTACTCCCTTTTTCTTTTTCTTTTCTCTTTCTTTCTTTGCTTGGGCCGTCGAACCTCTCGGGCTCCCTATG